ACACACACACACACACACACACATCTACTTTCACAGCCATGCACAACATATACACACACCTACACTTCGTACATCGTGTACACCCACACGCAGCACTCCGTACGTATTTCACGCATATGCATATGTACAAAATACATATATAATATACACAATATATATAATAAAGTTATAGTTATGATATATAATAAAATACATATATATGTACAAAACATATATATATATATACACAAAACGTTTCCTGTTCCAGAAATGGCATAATAAATTCTTGTGCCATTTCTAAAATTAACTGCAACAAGGAGGTAAAGAATTATTGGACAGTTGGTACAGGTATCCTGTGTTAGTGATGTTACTGAGATGTTCCCACACGTCCAGTGCAGCTACGCCAGGCCGTTTGATCCTCAGGCTCTATATCGTGAAATCTGCTGGACGGTCACGCTGCTCACTCCACTGATGTAAAAAAAGAAGGATAATGTAAATCAGTGTGTGGCACTTGTCGGAAAGAAAATGGCCACCAAAGCGCGTGAGAAAAACGGCGCACGGATGTGGTGGATACGGTAAGAGGCCCATCCGAAGAACGAAATCTGGTGCAGTTGCATTTAGCCATATTGACTCTCGGGCAATTTTCATTATCAGTAACTAGTACCACTAACGGAGGTGTGCAGACTAAAATCGAAGGAGTTGGCATAGATGTGACCGGTGCGTGAGACTACTAGCATAGGATACCCGCAATGGCTGTCCAAGTAATTCCGATTTTTCTTGATATCACTACTAAAATTTTGATCAGGAAATAAAGGAATTTAATGAATCATAAAAAAAAAAGCTTTAAATGCCTGGCCCTACCAAAACCTTCCCTCCCTCCTAAAAGCTCCTGGCTAAGCTCACTAACTCACACATCCGCACACACTTCGACACACACCACCACAGCAACGCACACACACAGACCCGTTCAATACATATCAAATGTGCACACGACACCCATCACATATGCACACCCATCAGCAGACATATGAAGACACTCCATACACACTGCTAGACAGACACACGCACACCACTCACAATGTGTAAGCGGACAGACACAACTAAATCCAGAGACACACACACAAACATGCGCACACACATCCCGAAAACCAGACTTGCAGACACATTTCTATAAACAGACCAGCAATAAACACACACACACACCTAACAGACACACGCAAAACGCATAGATCCACAGAAATGAAATTTCCATGGGCAAACAGATGCTGTTTAAAACAAGCATGTATTTCACTCCAGAACTCACACAGACACCCTGAAGCAGACATACACACACATCCACGTACACCCCACGGCAGACACACACACACCATAAAGCATACACACACACACCATAAAGCACACACACACATCTTACAGCAGACAAGAATACACTCTAAAGCATACACACACATCCTGGAGCAGACCCCCATACACCCCAATGCACACACACACACATCCTGGAGCAAAAACACAGACAAATCAATGCGGACACACACATTCTAAAGCAGACACACACACACACGGGTAATTTTGAAGGGGGCCGTTCGAAAGTGTAAAACTGTGAGAGAAGCTGCGGTGGGAGAAACGACCTCACGTCCTTCAAAATTGGCAACATCCGTATTCATCTTAAGCAAACCAACGATTTAGTCTTCAAAGATTTGCTTCACTGAAAAGTGCAAATAATATGTCGCTTATGAGGTAGCTTTGCACTGTTTGTATTAGATTAGTGCCCTGTGCAGCTGAATTATGCGGAAGTGGTTGTTTTGTACTGCCTGTGTTATATCAGTCACGTTTTCATGCGCACAGATTTCCCCGTCTTGCATTTCATTCCCCCACTTTGTACTGATTATTATCCGCGCTTAAGGGACGAGTAGGGACGGGGGAAGGGGGATTAAAATATGTCACGGAGTATACGATAAGAATCAAACCGGTTCCACTTAAAAATGGTTTTATCTCATCGCACACCCATTCGAGAAACGAAAACCTCTTCCAAAGTTAATCCAAATCATTGGCGACGCGCACTGGGCGGGCCCGTGCGATCATGCGTTTTTGCGGTGTTTCATGCTGTAATAAGATCACTCGAAATTCCGCTAGCTAGAAACCTCTTGTACATACTGGTCCTCGAATTTCGGGAAGTTAATTATGAACGCTATACCTGGGCAGGGACCATTCCCTTGAAATCACCGGTTCCCAGCTTTCTCAGTTCTCGAGTTGCCCAAATTCCAGCCAGAAAATTTCACCGGGCCGTACGTGCAACCACGCATATTGGGGGGCTGAA